AATTTGAAGTAGTCTGAATTACATAAACTTCTTTCTATTGTTAAAGAATTGTTTAGAGTTGAGGTAAAAAGTATAAATGATATGAACATATTTATCAGACTGGAAATGTTTACTAATGTGTTTTCCAGAAAGGTTACATGAATGGAAAAAGTTTCATTGCAATTTTAGCAATGATAATAATTAAAAAAAAATTTTTTTAAACACAGTTTATTCTTAAGGCTGATTCAGTTTTCTAGCTCACTTTGTGTGTGTAGTCACTGCTTGAAAATAATATTGACATCACTACTTCACATTTTTTAAACTTTGTATTTTGCCAATCATTTTCATAATAACTGACTTATTGGACTCTTCTAAGTGAGGCAGCTTGAACAAGTATTACTATCCCTACTTTATAAGAGAGAACACAGAGGCTTAGTGGTTTGTTCTAGGGCCCATGGCTATTCCATGATGAAGCTGGGATGATTACCTTTTTGATAGCAGAAATAGAACAATTATCTTTTTTTTTTAATGAAGTTTTGATTTTGAATAATTTTAGATTTACAGAGAAGCTGCACAGATAGTCTACAGATTTCTTGTATACCCCTCACCTAGTTCCCTCTAATGTTAAGGTCACTAAGGGGAATGTAACCTAAGTACATTTGCAAAACCTATGAAACACACATTGGGATATTACTATTAATTAAACTCAAGATAGATGTGGGAAGCATCAAAAGAAGATGGGAGGAATACACAGAGTCACTGCACCAAAAATAATTGTTCGATATTCAAGCATTTCAAGAGGTAACATATGATCTGGAACCAATGGAACTGAAGGAAGAAGTCCAAGCTGTACTGAAGACATTGGTGAAAAACAAGACTACAGGAACTGATGGAATGCCAAATGAGATGTTTCAAAAAATGGATGCAATGCTGGAAGTGCTCACTCACCTATACCAAGAAATTTGGAAGACAGCTACCTGGAGAACCGATGGGAAGAGATCCATATTTATTCCTGTTCCAAAGAAAGGTGATCCAACTGAAAGAGGAAACGATCTAACAATATCATTGATATCACATGCAAGTAAGATTTTGCTGAAGATCATTCAAAAGCAGTTGCAGCAGTACGTAGACAAGGAACTGCCAAGGATTCAGGCCAGATTCAGAAGACGACATGGAATGAGGGATATCATTGCTGATGTCAGATGGGTCCTGGCTGAAAGCAGACAATACCAGAAGTTTCCCTGTATTTTATTGACTATGCAAAGGCATTTGACTGTGTGTATCATAACAAATTATGGATAACATTGCAAAGAATGGGAATTCCAGAACACTTAACTGTGCTCATGAGGAACCTGTACATAGACTAAGAGGCAGTCAGTCAAACAGAAGGAGATACTACATGGTTTAAAGTCAGGAAAAGTGTGTGTCAGGGTTGTATTCTTTCACCATACTTATTTAATCTGTATTCTGAGCAAATAATCTGAGAAGCTGGACTAGCTGAAGGAGAATGGAGCAACAGAATTGGAGGAAGACTCATTAACAACCTGAGTTATGCTGATGCCACAACCTTGTTTGCTGAAAGTGAAGATGACTAGAAGCACTTACTGATGAAGATCAAAGACAACAGTCTTTAGTATGGATTACACCTTAACATAAATAAAACAAAAAGCCTCACAACTGGCCCAATAAAGAACATAATGATAAATGAAGAAAAGATTGAAGTTGTCAAGGAATTCATTTTACTTGCATCCACAATCAACACCCATGGAAGCAGTAGTAAAGAAGTCAAAGGATGCATTGCATTGGGCAAATCTGCTGCAAAAGACCTCTTTAAAGTGTTAAAAAAGGTAAGATGTCACCTGGAAGACTAAGGTGTGCCTGACCCAACTCATGGTGTTTTCAATCACCTCATATTTATGAGAAAGCTGGGCAATGAAGAAGGAAGACCGAAGAGGAAGTGACACCTTTGAATTGTGGTGTTGGTGAAGAGTATAGAATATACTATGAGTTGCTAAAAAACGAGCAAATCTGTCTTGGAAAAAGTACAACCAGAATGGTCCTTAGAAGCAAGGATGGGAGACATCATCTTACATACATTGGACATGTTATCAGGAAGGATCAGTCCCTGAAGAAGCACATCAAGCTTAGTAGAGAGTCAGAGAAAAAGAGGATGACCCTCAAAGAGATGGACTGATACAGTGGCTGCAATAATTGGCTCAAGCATAACAAAGATCATGAGGATGGCGCAGGACCAGGCAGTGTTTTGTTCTGTTGTACATAGGGTCACTATGAGTCGGAACCTACTCATCAGCACCTAACAGCATCAACAAATTCCAGATTTTATTCATAGTTCACTACTCCTTCCACTGCTGTCCTTTTTCTGTTCTAGGACTCAATTCAGGCCAATCACCTTTTAAATGATTTAAAGATCATAAACCATGAGGACATTGTATTCTCCATTGTCAACATTTTAATGCTAATTTTGGAAACTATTTTCATCCAAAAACAGGGAGGGCTGATTTGTTTACATCTAAGGAACATTTTAGTTCTAAAATTGTATTACTCTTAGAACTCCCCATATAAGGAAGCGGAAATATAAAGAATTATTTTATCATTAGTATAGATTAGCATAGATTAATGTAGAGTCAATTTGATTTTCTTTGTGTAAAGAAGCTACCTGAAGTAGAAGTGGACTCATATAGGTTTGAGTGTTACTAAGGGATTACAAAGGTCATTTAAAAGTGCTATGCCTTTAAAAAATTAGCATATCTACACTGTGACCAAATAAAATAATTTATACATTTAAAGTAATAAAAAGATGATTCAAAGAGCTTATCAGTAAAAGCACTTATAAGCCTTGTTCATGGTAAAGTGGGAGTGAAATATAAATAAAAATATTAACAATTCTCTGCGTCAGTGGTCTTGGGGTTTGATCTCCTATTAAACGTTTTTATGTGTATAGTGTTATCTGATTCTATCAATAGGCATTCTTATTATACTCACTTTCCAGAAGTAGAAACCAAGGATTTTAAGTAACTTGTTCCATGACACATAACTAAATAGAAGAGCTTTGATTTGAACCTGGGCCTGTATGAGTCTGGAATTGATGGTCTTACTCATTTCATTGTTTCTCCTGCTTTGATCCTAGGCTAACCTGACCATGGTTGAATCATGTATTGATATTCGTTAGTTTTTAATAAATGATTGTTGACGGACCCAAAGATCTTGGGTTTGTTTTCCACTCTTGTTTTCTGGGTAACAGCATGTCGCTGGATATGGAGTTAATAGTGGTGGCACAATTTAGGATTGCCTAAAAAAAACAAATTCTGACTCAAGGTGAGCCTATATGACAGAGTAGAACTGCCCCATAGGGTTCCCAAGGAGCAGCTGGTGGATTCAAACTGCTGACTTTTTGGTTAACACCAAACCCTTAACCACTGTACCACCAGCTTTCCCTAGGATTGCCTAGACTCTGAGAATATAAGGAAATGGCTGTTTTAAAGCAAGTAAACGAAGACATTAACCTATCCAATTGTATATTTGTTAATTTTATTTGTTAATTCTAAGTGGCATTCAACAAAATCAGTTTACTGATAATTCTCACAACAAGCCCCACTATTTTTTTAAATTCATCTCTTTAGCAAATGTATAATTATGTAAACTATTGGAGTGATAAGTGTCTGCTAAATGTACAGGTGAGGACACACTTATCCTTCAAAGCTGTGTCTGCTTATGGAATATGAAGTCCAAAGTTGAATTAATTATCTGGTTGAATCATGGAAATGCTTTCAATGAGTAAAGCAACTGGCTTGTTTAGTGGGATAATAATAACCACAATTTGCAACAGTTCTTTATCCTAAGCAACATTGTCACACTTTCATAATGGGCCTTCATCATTATCCTTTGAGATGATCAGGTAAGGTATGTTTGAACTATTTTACAATAAAGTTATATAATTTTGAAGCGGATATACCTTGAGGAGTTGCACTTAATCATACTGAGCCACATTGTATAAGTAATTGGTTAATAACTGATAAAGATTTAAGACTGGTTTATATTCCACATCTTGTTCCTATTCCTTGCTAATATGGTTGTTGTTACTTTGTATATGTATAGTATGTGTATGTATATGGTGGGGCCATTACCTTCTTATTATAAATCATTTGCAGATAGTTCCCCTGATGTGTCTCATTTATGCATGAACAAAGGAATCAGAAGGTTTTAACCTTGAGAGGTGGATGGAAACTGTAGAAAGGCCATCCTTGCTCTGAAGTTCTCCTTAGAAAAGAAATATTCTCACTCCTTTCCTTACTGATCAAGTAGAATGCACTTGGGCTCTGGAACCAGAAAATCCCTGATCCACTTTGTGCTAATATTTTGACCTTAACCTCTCAAAGCATGAATTTGTCACCAATAACATAGGGATAGTAAGACCTAACATGGACTGTATCCTAGAGACAAGGCACTGAGCGATTACTTTCCTTGCATTATTTCACTTAGTCATCAACATAGTGCTCTGAAGTAGGTTTTATTATTTTTACCAGCTTCTGTTTTCATTTTAAAATGATGAATAAAAAAAAAGCAACCCAACACTTAATGTATACTTATTATTTGCTAAGCATACAGCTAGCCACTTTTCCAGAGGCCTTTATTTTTTTAAGGAATGAATTAATTCATCTTAAAGGCCCAGTTCAGCTCAGAGTTTTAAAGAAATATCTGTGGTAGTAGGCATGATTTCCAAGTGCATGTTAAACTGCATGTTGTCTTGTCTTCTATTTGTAGGTAAGGCAGTCTCCTGGAGAGAGATGCGTTTCCCATGCAGATCATCCTGGTTCCCATGCCATGTCAATGACAGGCATAACTAATACAATACAGCCCTCCTTTCTTCAGAGCTTGGATATGTTTCAGAATCCTTCTCAATAATTCACTCTAGGTAGCCACTACTAACTAATCAGAGTTGGCACTTAAGATAAAAACTGTTTGTCATCCCTACCGCATATGAATGGTTCCGCTCCCCATATTGAAACCTGAATATTTTAAAGTATTTATTCTTGATTCTGCCTGATGTCTCACTACCGCCTTCAACAAATTTCTCATTTTGTATTCTCCATAAAAACAGAAGCATTTAAAATAACTTTGCATATGGATGCACCAACATGTTGATGACTAGTAATACTATGTACTTGTCTGAGGCAAGTATCTCTTCTCATAATTTCAGATTCTACATGGTCACTGTAGTAACTTTCATCTTTTCCTCTGAAATCATGCAAAATCAAAGCTGTGTCACAGACTTTGTCCTCCTGGGCCTTTCACAGAATCCAAATACTCAAAAAATAATATTTGTTGTATTTTTGTTTATCTACATTGCAACTGTTGGGGGCAATTTGCTAATTGTGGTGACCATCAGCAGCAGCTTCACACTCTGGGGTTCCCCCATGTACTTCTTTCTGGCTTTCCTGTCCTTCCTGGATGTATGCTTCTCCTCTGTCATTGCCCCAAAGATGATCGTGGACTCCCTCTATGAGAGGAAAACCATCTCCTTCAAAGGCTGCATGACCCAGCTCTTTGCTGAACACTTCTTTGCTGGAGTAGAAGTGATTGTCCTCACTGCCATGGCCTACGACCGCTATGTGGCCATTTGCAAGCCATTGCACTACCCCTCCATCATGAACTGGAGGCTCTGTGGCATTCTGATGGGGGTAGCCTGGACAGGGGGCTTCTTGCATTCTGTGATACAAATGTTCTTTACTTTCCAGCTGCCCTTCTGTGGCCCCAATGCCATCGATCACTTCATGTGTGATTTGTACCCATTATTGGCGCTTGCCTGCACTGACACTCACGTCCTTGGCCTTTTTGTTATTGCTAATAGTGGATTAATCTGCATCATAAACTTCTCATTGTTGCTTATCTCCTATGGTGTCATCTTGTTCTCACTGAGAACTCATAGCTCTGAAGGTCGGCGGAAAGCTCTCTCCACTTGCGGATCTCACATTGCTGTTGTAGTTTTGTTCTTTGTACCTTGCATATTTTTATATGCACGACCTCCATCTGCTTTCTCTGTTGACAAGATGGTGGCCATATTTTCCACCATCCTAACTCCCTTGTTCAATCCTATGATTTATACTTTCAGGAATAAGGAAGTGAAAAATTCCATGAGGAAGTTGTGGACGAGATTGGTGGTGGTTTCTGATTAAAAATAAAACATTAAACTTATAAAAAATAAAAATTTCAGAAGAAGGAAATCAAAATGGGCTTAGAGAAAAACTTTATAGGGGATGCACCTTGTAAGACAGAAAGTAATGTAATGCAATAGAAAAACACTAAGTGGAGGTCAGGAAATGCTTTTTCTACCCTCAAATCTCTCATCATTTCAGAGTTGGCAGCTCAGTATCATTACATGTAAAGAGAGTTGAATTTTATGCTTATTTAAATACAATAATGAAAAGAAATCAGGAGAAGAGAGGAATCAGATTATCTATTAAACTGCTTGCCATTCACACCATGCTTTGAAAATCATTCATGGACAGAAGACAATAATATCTTACAGATTAGAGCAGGAGCTTCCTGAAACTCTTTCAATGGAAAAAAGTTTCATTCTGGGGCACTGCTCCCAGTTAAGGATCCCTGGTGACCAAGTGGTTAAGTGTTCGGTTGCTAACTGAAAGTGGCGTGGCTTGAACCTACCAGCTGCTGGAGAAGTGTAAGATGTGGCAGTCTGTTTCCCTGAATATAACAACACTGGAAAGTCTGTGGGGCAGTTCTACTCTGTCATATAGGTTCGTGATGAGTCAGAATGGATTAGATGGCTATGGGAGGTGATCACAGTCAATCGGATGGAAAAACATTCAGGAATTAGGAAGGGCAGAGACAAGGACATTCTCAGAAACTCAACTGTAGGTGTTACTGGAACACATGACTTCATCGTTTAACATGGACCCATTATTATCTGTTACAGGATTGGAGGAAGACTCATTTAACAACTTGTGTTATGCAGATAACACAACCTTGCTTGCTGAAAGTGAAGAGAACTTGAAGCACTTACTGATGAAGATCAAAGACTATAGCCTTCAGTATGGATTACACCTCAACATAAAGAAAACAAAAATCCTCACAACTGGACAAATAAGCAACGTCATGATAAACAGAGAAAATATTGAACTTGATAAGGATTTCATTTCACTTGGATCCACAATCAACACCCATGGAAGCAGCAGTCAAGATATCAAAAGATTGCATTGGGCAAAACATTGCATTGGACAAATCTTCTGCAAAAGACCTCTTTAAAGTGCTGAAAAGCAAAGACGTCCGCTTGCAGACTAAGGTGCGCCTGACCCAAGCCATGGTATTTTCAGTTGCATCATATGCATGCGAAAGCTGGACAATGGATAAGGAAGACAAAAGAAGAACTGATGCCTTTGAATTGTGGTGTTGGTTAAGAATATTGAATATACCATGGACTGCCAAAAGAACAAACAACTCTGTCTTGAAAGAAGTACAACCAGAACGCTCCTTAGAACCAAGGATGGCGAGACTACATCGCACATACTTTGGACAGGTTATCAGGAGGGATCAGTCCCTGGAGAAGGACATCATGCTGAGTAAAGTAGAGGGCCATCGAAAAAGAGGAAGACACTTGACAAGATGGATTGACACAGTGGCTGCAACAATGGGCTCAAGCATAACAATAATAGTGAGGATGGCACAGGACCCAGCAGTGCTTCCTTCTGTTGTACATGGGGTTGCTATGAGTGGGAACTGCCTCGATGGCACCTAGTAACAACAACCACAGATATGAATCACTTGTTAAAATTCTTGAGAGATAACACCTGCTTGGCCATTTCCTGCAAATGGATGGGTTTCTTTTGGTTCAGGTGACCACCTCACACCAATCATCTGTAGAAGAGGAAGGGAAGTGGATTTTATAAGGGAACCATTGATGAGTAGCTTTCACTTGATTTCCATCAAAGAAGACTTTTGATAGATCATTTTCCTAGCAAAACCAATACCAAAGTTGCAGATGTTGTGAGCTGACTACAGGGTAAACAGAGGCCAGAGATATCTGAGAATAAAAATTAGATTTCAAAAGTAGATTACATCAATTTACTCATTGATTTGAAGTTTGTTGACTTAGTCTATCCAAGTGAAAATAATTCTATTAGAGCATTAGTCAATATAGAGATAATTCAAATCAAACACATTTGAACTCTGCCTATATTTTTAAAAATAGTAATACCCAACCTGGCTTTTATAATTTCTCCTATCTACTCTTCTTTTTTCCATAACACTTTCCACTCTATAACCTTCTATATAGTTTATTTCCTTATTGTGTTTTATCTGCCTCCTCTCATAGAATAAACTGTGAGACAGGGAAGTTTTTCCTATGTGATTCACTGATGTATCATTAGTATCTAGAACAGCCTGTTACAGGAGCTTAATAAACATTTGTTAAGTAGATGAAAATAAGTGACGTATCTTCCTCTTTTCAAATTCAAATGTATTTACAATATTAATCTACTAAAATGTTAAGTTTGGCAAATGAAAGTAGCTATTGCTGGGATTAGTCCCTTGATCTTGAAAGTATTACAAACAAATCCTCTACTCTAGTTATTTTCCAAAATTTATATAAAAATTAAAATAGAGACTTCTGGCAACATGGCACTCTAGGCAAAAGCCCCACCCTATCCCTCCACAGCAAAGATCTGAAAATCTAAGCCAAACAGAGAAAACAGCAATCCTGAAACCCTAAAACATCAAATGAAGAGATAAACAGCTCAGCCAAGCACCAAATGAAGTAAGAAACTGACAGAGAATGGAGAGCGAGGAGAGATTCATGCAGAAGTCCCCTATCAACTAATGCAGCATGGATCCACCATCTTGGACTTCTATCAGAGACCAGTAAATAGGGGGTAAGAAAAAGTAGCTTCACGGAGCTTCCAGCAGGACACAGAACAACCTGTAACTGGTGATATACTCTTTCCCACCCCCCACCCCTCTTCACCCCCACTCAGCCTCCTCTGCTTCCCGCAGCCACAGTCTCTTGGCCAGGAAGCACCAGCTGCTTGGATTCCACCTGTCCACACTGGCCGACCCGCTGAGTACCATTTGTTGGCTGCTGGTGTTGCTTTTTCCTGGTTCTTTTGATTTCTTCCTTACCTCTCACCACCTACCCTTCCTTTCGCTCAAATACTTGGTTCCAGGCACCATCTTTGCTTCTTCCTAAGGGGCTACGGAGCTTGGTTTGAGTGTGGAACTGCTTCCCAGTCTGTGCTGCTACGCTGGTGGGATACTGGGGCTTTTTTTTTTGTTTGCTTGTTTTGAATCGTTTGTTTTCTTTTTCTTGTTTTGAGTTGGGAGCCCATTCTGGCCAGACAGTGCTATGCAGCTTGGGACCTACCCCCTCAGCTTGAGAACACAAGCAGAGGGATCCCTGAGGGCATATCTTTTTTAGCAATTTTTTTTTCTTATTTTTTTTTGGAGAGCTTTTCTTGTTCTTTTTTTTAAAATTTGTTTTGTTTCCTTCTCCCTCTTTTTCCCTTTTTGTCATTCATCATTACTCAGTTTCTCGACTCTCCATACCTTCCTTCTCTTCCTGTCCCCCGAATACCTGGTGCTGAATACATCTACGCCTTCTAGCCAGGCTGTACTTCAACACCTGGGAACAACGTCCCCAGACCTCGTAGCCACACTGGTGGGATCCTTGGGTGTTTTGCTGTTTTTTTTTTCTTTCTAATTTTTATTTATTCTTTCTTTTCTTCTCTTTCTTCTTCTTCCCCTTTTTGTTTTTCTTCATTTCATCGTCTCTCATCTCTCCACTCCAATGGCAAGCTCCCCTAGCACTCTTTTTTGTTTGTTTGTATGTTTTTGGCTCCTGTTCCTCTCTCCACTCTCCCATATCCATCTTAGCTCCAGACATAAAAATCTTCCCCCTCCATCCTGCCTACCTGTACCTTGCGCTTAACATCACATCACCAAGCAGCACAGGCATGGCCTACTGGAACCTGCCCTGCACTGATTAATGTACCGACCAGCCCTGGTGGCTGTAGTAAGTGCCACAAACAATGCATCCCAGCAACTCCTCTTCTGCTAGACCTCCCCTGCTGTACCATATCTGAGCGACTGACCCTGCCAATTGGAGAAGGAGGCGAAAAGTATCATGCCCACAGATGTGCAAACAACAAAGAACACAAAGCCCACATGGTCAGACACAGCCAAATTAAAAAAAAAAGGACAAAACAAACAAATCTACAATAAACAAACAAGAAAAATAACTACTGAATGCCCTGAAGACAGCAGACAATATCAAAACATTTACAAAAACAGGACAGGATGGTTCCAGTAGGAGTCCAAAATAAAACACCAGATAACTTTCCAGTGGAAGAAAAGGCACTAGAACTACCTGACAGGGAATTCAGATCTCTGATACTCAGAATTATCCAAGAGTTGAAGCAAAAAGCAGACAAAAATGAGGAAAAAGAGACAAATTCATGGAAAAAGCAGACAAATTCATGGAAAATATAGACAAAAAAAATGGAAGAATTCAGGAAAATAATGCAGAAACAAAATGCCAAAATAAATTCACAACTAGAAATTATACAAAGACAACAATTAGAAATCCAAAAGATAAACAACAAGATTTCAGAAATGGACAATGTCAAAGAAGGGGTGAGGAGCAGATTTGAAACAGAGGAAGACAGGATCAGCAGAATTGAAGACAAACACTTGGATACAACTCTGTTTGAGGAAAACTCAGAAAAAAGAACAAAGAAAAATTAAGAGACCCTGAGAGTTACGTGGGATACAATAAAAAGCAAAAATTTGCCAGTGATAGGATTTCCAGAACAGGGGTGAGAAAACAGAAAACACAGAGAGGGTCATTGAAGAACTGCTGACAGAAAACTTCTCCAATATCATGAAAGATGAAAAGCTGGCCATCCAAGAAGCTCAACAAACTGCATATAGGAGAGACCCCAAAAGAAAATCACCAAGGCATATCATAATCACACTCACCAAAACCAAAAACAAACAAAGAATCCTGAGAGCAGCTCAAGAAAAACAGGAAGTCACATACAGATGAGAAAGAATAAGACTAAGCTCAGATTATTCGGCAGAAACCATGCAGGCAAGAAGGTAATGGGATGACATATATAAAACTTTGAAAGAAAAAAATTGCCAGCCAAGAATAATATATCCTGCAAAACTCTAATTGAAATATGATGGTGAAATTAGGTCATTTCCAGATAAACAGAAATTAAAGGAATACGTAAAAACCAAACCAAATTTACAAGAATTATTAAAAGGAGTCCTTTGATCTGAGAACAA